TTGGGGCAGAGAGGATAACAGCAGACTGGAGGGAAACTCTATCCCAGAGGGATAGAGGTGTGTGACACAACAGGTGGGTGCTGAAAACCTGGCTAAAGATTTAGGCCAGGTCAAGGAGGGCAATCCGGACACCTATGGTGTCTGTCCCATCTCCTCCTACTGAAGGTGCATTTTCATGTGCTGTGGTGCTGTAGGATAAGCACTGGATTGCAAGGTTGGTTTGAACTGCAAGGGTGGCAGTTCAAATCCACCAGCCCCTCTTTGAAAACCCTTTATATGATCATTCCAGTGGAAACCAAGAGCAGCATTTGTGCTACTCCAGGGACATCTTTCCAGTCACCTGAAAGCATTTGGGGCCCATCGACATTGGTTGACTTCCTTTGAGAGAGATATCACAAGCTTGCTAAACCATAACTTCTGGTAGCTCATCTGGTGTAGGGGAGGGCTGTAGGTGTGTAGATTCTGGTTGCTGGTTCGATTCTGACTTCAAGGAAGTGTGTGGTATTTTTGCTTAGCCCCACCTCTCTTTTCCTGCAGCAATGCAGCATCTCAACACTGACAAGACAAAAGTCAGGCAAGTCTTTCTGGAATACAGACTTTGGTCCCAAGAAACACATCTGTTCTTCCGTCTAGCTAAACTACACACACTTTCAATCGATTTATGTCTTTCGGCTTTTGTTCTCACAGAGCTCTGAGCCACCAGCCAGGCACCAGCTCTTTGCTCACCACTGACAATTGTTTCCCCCAGATCAGTGGACAAATTAACTACTCACAGTACAACTCTGGAGGTTAACAGGCATACCTATCAAGGAAAATCTTGGCACACTTCCTGCAATCTTTCTTATTCTAGCTCTGCTTTTCCTCACTGTTTCTAGAAACGCCTGTCTTATATATCTGTTATATATATAGTATATATACACATATATACTTCTCAGTGCTGGAGACACACGCTGCATCCATTGTCCTGCAACTTCTGGCAGTGAGTGCTGCTGCGAAGGTCTCAGAGGAAAGGGAGAGGGTATGAATTAGGTTTAAATTTCAGGCAAGGACCACAGGAAGGGAAAACAACTTCACCTGCTTACCCAGGCTACTCTCCAGGCAGTTCTCAGAATGCAGCTCCTTTTGCCCTTGACCCTCAGGACTGAGTTGCAGTGAGCCCCAGGAGGAAGATGCTTCATCCTCATCAGTGAGCTTGGAACCTGAAGTGGCCAGATCATTCAGTTGGGGGCTAGAGGGACAGTGAGTGTAGAAAAGAATGTCAAGAAGCCAATAATACTTGACTGTCCAATGGCAATGTTAGAGATGTACAGTTGAAGGTAGAGAAGAAAACCTTGTCCAACCTTGTCATTCAAAAAGGGCTTTTTTGAATCTGGACTCCAAGTGGTGATGAGTTTGTACACATGCTTTCACTTCTTCACAAACTGCCCTGCTGAAATCTCCTCCTTACCATCCTCTGCCTTCTCTGATAGAACTCCCAGGGAGATGGGTTAGGTAGAAGTTCTTTGAGAGTCCGGTGTGCATGAGGACAGACACGTGATCTTGGTGATGATTGTAAAGACATACAGAGACCACAGCCCTGAACAGTCACTGTCTGCAGACCCCAGTGCACTGGGGCAGAAATTGGAGCCTCAGCCCTTTATTAGCTACTCTCCTCTGACTGGATGTTCAGGCAGAGGACCCTCCAAACCAGACTCTGGTGCTTTGTGTGTAGGGGGTGGGGGTGGGGGAGCGGGGGAGGACTGGTAAGGAGAGCCAGAACTTTGGTGACCAACACAACCTAGTCTGAACAAACCTTGGTGCTGGACGGTCCTCCTTAGGGGAAGGTAGCAGGGGAAGCAATTATGTGGGTGTGTCAAACTCTAGATGATGGACTATGACTTGTGTGTGAATAACCAAGCCATAAGGGGACTTTCTGTGTAGGCCAGAAGTCAGGCGGCATCCCCACAGATTTTGAGTGGGTGCTAAAAGCTTGGTCTAAAACTTTCACCTAGAGCAAGCAGGTGTTTTAGTGGGAAAAGACCACACATTCAAACATATTTTATAGAGATTCCTTTTTTTAAGGCTTGAACAGGACAAAGACAAATCACCCAGATGAAGGAAACCATCACCTTGAGACCATAACGTTGTCCTAGGATTCATGGCTATACAGCTAATTATAGGTGATGGAAACCCAAGGAGATCATCATAAAATTATGATTGGCTGCGGATCAATTCATCACTGTGGCAAGTTGAGAAAGAACCATGATTGGGATACATATGCAGTTGCAGGTTAGAAAGGTTTACAGAACTGGTCCTGGGACCCTTCGAATACCTGTCTACTTGATGGTTGGATATGACTCATGACCATGAGGCCCTGAGTCATATCTGCTGGTACTCCCACTTAAAGTGACAAGCACCTGTAAATCATTAAGAACATTCAGGTAAGTTTACAGAGGGCAAGACTGCCTCAGTCAAGCATGGAACATGTCCCACACCGGGCATCTTACCTTTTCTCCCTCCCTCGCAGCAAGCCTCACTGAGAAAAAGTGAACAAACCTCAGTAAAGAGGGAGGAAGGGGCCAGATCTAGCACAGGGTGGAAGCAAGGCTCTGAGAGGTGTGTCTGTTTGTGGCGCTGTAGTATAAGCACTGTACTAACACTCACCAGGTGAGCGTTTCAAAACCATCAGCCGCATCTTGGAAATCCTGTACAGTGTCGCTATGAGCCAGAACCGGCACTTAACAACAACAGGACCCGGGCGGTTTGCAGTCTGCAGCCGCGACGCATTCAAGTACTCGCAGCGTCCTTTACTCCACAAAGCCACCCTATAACCATCTCGCCTCTGGCCTGAACCAACCATGCGCTACCGGGCCCTCTAGGATTATCATCCCACGTGTACAGGTGGGGTGAGGATGAGTGAGGCCACAAGGAAGGGACCCTAAGACATCCTAAAAATCGCCACCCCGGATGCACCGCAGCGACCAAATGCCAGCAGCCACGGGGAGCTCAGGAAAAGTCTCACACTGGCAAGAGTGTGCCTGTGTCTCTCCAAAAGTGAGTTCCAGCCAACTGAAGGCGTTTGGAGCCGAAAATAATCCAGTGACATGACCTCTGGCATTTCTTGAAAGAGATCCCCAGGAGTCAAACTGTGCGCCCTTCGATAGCTCAGTTGGTAGAGCGGAGGACTGTAGATTGAACACCTGTGGGCATCCTTAGGTCGCTGGTTCGACTCCGGCTCGAAGGAAGTGCGTCATGTTTTTATGCC